CAAAGGTTAAAAAGGAGAGGGAGATCCTTCCTACAAGTTCATATGAATTCGGTGGGTTAGAGGCTGGAGAGATAGCTTAATGATTAGAGTACCTGTTGTTGTTCTAGAGGACCCAGAATTGGTTTCTAGCATCCACATGTTATCTCACAACTGTGTGCTGTAGTGTGGAAACAAAGCTGGTATTCTAGAAAAGCAGCCAGTGCTCTTAGGCAATGAATCTTCTTTGCAGCCCCTTGAATATATACTTAACCTTTTTATTTCTCAGTATCCCTAAATTTCCAATAACTTGCTCCTGATGCTGACATCCTATAAAAAGTTCTTCCCTCTGAGGCTGGAGAGAGCACTAACTGCTTGTTCAGAGGTCCTGAGTTCAACTCCAGCAACCATATGGTGGCTCACAACCATCTATAATGAGATCTGATGCCTTTTTCTTTCATGCAGGCACACATGCAAATAAAGAGTGATCATATACAGAAGTAAATAAATCATAAGAAAAAAAAAAAAAAAAGAGTACCGGCTGCTCTTCCAAAGGAAGAGTTCAAATCCAGCACCCACATGGCACCTCACAACTGTCCGTAATCCAGTTCTAGAGGATCTGACACTGTCACAGACACAAGGTAAAACATCAACACACATGAAAAGACATAAATAAAAACAAACTTTTAAAAATGAAAGGTGAGTATAATCACAATATATTGTGTAGCTGTATAGAATTGTCAAAAAAATAAAACTTAAAGGAACTTAAACCAGTTCCCACAAAAAGTAAAATGCAGAAGTGTGAACAACCCCAAAATGTAACCAGACCACTTGGGATTTCTTTTGCCTGATGGTCGCAGAGCCAAGTGTTGTGGCAAATACCTGTAATCCTGGCAATCGGGAAGTAGAGGCCTCAATTACACAAGAGTTCAAAGCCATCTAGGGCTACATGAGATTCTATTTCAAAAAGAAAGAAATTCTTACAAATATGACATACTTTAAATTCTCCTAAAAACAGCCACTACCTCCTGTACTCTGAATTTAGTAAATGCTAATTTCTTTGAGCAGAAATGGCCTGCACCTGAAGGGACTTCTAGATTCAGGATGTGATGGAAGTTGCACATTAGAGTCCTGGAATGTTCTCCAATATAACCTGTGTTTGAGGCAGGAAGGCTGCAAATTCCAGACCAGCTAAGACCCTGACTTAAGGAAAATAAGCTAAGCACAGTGGCTCACACCTTTAATCCCAGACAGAGGCAGGCAGAGCTCTTTGGAGGCAGAGTTTTAAAGGCCAGCCTGGTAAGTTTCCAGAACAGTCAGTACTACACATTGAGTCCTTGTCTAAAGAAAGAAAAGAAAGAGGTTCAAGGTCATCCTCCACTACATAGAGTTCAAGGCCAGCCTGGGATTGAGATCCCATCTCTCTTAGTATGTCTCTCCATATATGTAGACAAGTAGGATAATTCAATCAATCAATCAAAGGAAGGTTGAGGATATAGCTCAGGTGATAAAGTGCTTACCTTACCTATTCTATCTACCACACCCCCCATCACCAGCCTAAGGCTGAGGCAGGAGAATTTGAAACTCAAAGTCAGTATGGGCAGCTCCTGCCTTTAATCCCTGAGGCAGAGGCAGGAGGATCTCTGTGAATTCAAGGCCAGCCTGGTCGACAAAGTCCAGGACAGCCAAGGCTACACAGAGAAACCCTGTCTGGAAAAACAAACAAACAAAAAGAGTCAGTCTGGGCAACTTAGAACATCTCAAAAAATAAAACAAAACAAACAACAACAAACAAAAAGGGACATGGAAAACAAAAGGCCTGGCATAGGTTCAACTCTTAGCGTGCACATACACGCAGGCGCACACATACACATACACATACATACACATGCACACACGCACACACACACACACACACACACACAGCCAGATGGTGGTAGCACACGCTTCTAAACCCAGAACTCAGGAGGCTGAGGCAGTTGGATCTCTGTGAGTTCAAACGCCAGTCTGGTCTACAAAGTGAGTTCAGGACAGCCAAGGTTACACAGAGAAACCTTGTCTTGAAAACCCCGCCCCTTAAAAAAAAAAAAAAGTAAAGCTCTGGTGGCCCATTACGTGTCCCTGCATCATTGAACTTGGGAAGCTGACACAAAAGACTCTAGCCTGGAATACTAAAGCTGACCGTATAATTGAGAATTAGCTTTCCCATGGATGAACTCCCTAAATGGTTATCCAATCTCAAATGGTAAGCCTTAAAAACAAATACATACAAGCAACACTAAAAGGATTCAGCAGGTTGCATGAATTTGAGGAGATGGAGGCCAAGAGAGTGACTGGAAGAAGGAGATCAAGTAATTTTAATTAAAATAAGGGTTCACTGGGTAGAGAAAACTTGCCCACGATTTTTCAGGCATCAGTACCAAACAAACAGAAACACGTTTAAAACTTCCAAAGAAATCTACCTTAATATCCAGCGTTCTGTAAACAATGACCCTCACCAAGTGACCGTAGTAAAAAGGAATACCTGAAGAGACAGTGTAGCTACGGTTCCATGAAAAATCTCCACTCCAATCACTGTATTCTAGGCACCTGATAGAAATGATCTCATACACACACACACACACACACACACACACACTCGGGAGACAGGTATCCACATGAAAGAGGCGGAGAACAAGGCCTTAAAGTTTACACTCGGGGATGGCATAGCCAACTCCAGATTCAAACTCAGCTGTCATACTGTCCTAATCACCACAATGAATTAAGAAGTCAGGGTAGGTGTTCGGACTAGAAAACTAGTAAACAATAAGCAGCAAGCTGCAGAAACCGATTGATCGAGTTAAAAGAAAAAAAAAAAAAAATAGTGCACCAGGGAAGCCCACAAGCAAGTGACTGACTCACATTTAAAGAGTCGGGCCGCCAAACTCAACTGACGGACATCAACCACCCTCAAAGTTGAAAGGAATCTTGTCACCCCACCCCTGCGCCACAGGTCCTCCAACGCCAGAATCCGGGCGACTCTGGAGACCCCGGGTCCCGCGGCACCCCGCGCCTACTGCCGCGCGGCCACCGCTGCCCACGGACGCAGCGCTCCTCGCGGCCTCCCGCCCCCGGGCTGCGGCCTAGGCCGGGGCCGCCCACCCCGACCCACCGCGCCGCCTCCCGGCCCGAGGACCCGCACTGACCGTTGTATGACTTCCCTTCGTCCGCCATGGCAAAGGCAGGTACAGGGGCGGGCTCAGGCGCAGAACCTGACGCCACCAAACGCCCGAACGCCTTGGCGCTCAGGACAGAAGCTCTCCTACCACCGGCGCCACCGCATTTATCCGGCGAAGCACGTCGCGCGCCGCCGACGTCCCCAGGATGTGGGCGGTGCCGCGGGGCGGGGACGTGCTCTCTGCGCCTGCGCAGAAGCAGGGCGGGCGCGCGGAGGCGTGGCCAGGCCCTCCGAGGCCCGCCCACGGCTGGAGCTTGGAGCCCGATGGCTTGCCGGCAGCCGTCGCCTTTCTAGCTTCTCCGCCCGCCCGGCAGCACCGGGTTTCGTGCTGGACCTGAGCGATCGGCTGTACCCCTGGACTCAGGCAGCAGGGACGAAAGTCACACAGAAGAATGGAGACTTGGCCTCTGAGCAGGAGTAACGGCTCACAGTTCCCACCGGTGGGATCCCGGCAGCGTGTAAGTCGCAGCTCAGCTCCTTGCCAGCCGCGGCCCTATGCCCTCCCAGCTTTCCTCGCCTCTACGATGGATTATGACGAAATAGAAAATTGGAATGTAAAACTCCACTGGAGCAGGAACCTTAACTAATGCACAGGTTTTCTTCCTCGGGCGCGCCTGTCTCAGTATCATGCCCAGTGTGAAATCCAAATGTGAATTAAACCCTGTTTTCTCATAAATTGCCTAATCAAAGAAGTTGGATGTAGTGGAGCACGCTTTTAAACCCAGCATTTGGAGGGCAGGCGAATCCCTCAATTTGAGGCCAGCCTTGTCTATTTAGAAATTTCTTGGGACAGCCAGAGCTATGTAGAGACCCTGCCTCAAGGAAAGAAAAAAGTCTTTTGTCTTAATTCTTTGGAGTTCAAGGTCAGAATGGTCTACATAGCAAGTACAAGACAGCCAAAGCTACATAATAAGACAGTCTCAAAACAAAAACAAAATCAGGTGTATAACTATGGCCCTGACCTACCATTATGCCTAATAGAAAGACCCAGGTCAGCTAAGTAGGTAATTAAAGTTGCTAGAAGTGATTGGAATTTTTTTTTCTTAAGTTTTGAGACAGGGTTTCTCTGTGTAGCCCTAGCTGTCCTGAAACTTGGTCTGTAGTCCAGGTTGGCCTCAGAGATCCACCTGCCTCTGCCTAACAATTGTTGAAATTTTAGGTGTGCCACTGTGCTCTGCTGTGATTGAAATCTTTAAATGGCAAACCTAAGAGCTCTTCCAGGAAACGACCTTTGGTGTGGCAAGAAATGACTCTAGTTTAGCCTGAGGTTCCCTGGATCCAGTTGCTGCCGAGGGAGGGAGAAGTAGATGGGGCACGGATAGGAAGGGAACATGACTTCAATACTGATCAGGAAGGAGAGAACAGCTCATTAACCTCCCTTCAGGGTCTGTGTTAGCTGGGTTACCTCCATTTTACAGTGGCTGGTTTGATTTGCTTAGTGTCTTAGAAGGTGCCAGAAGCTAAGTACCAATTCTCTTCTAGCAGCAGAGCCCTTGTTTCACTCAGTTCAAGAATCTGGGCCAAGTGATTTGATATAGATGAAAACAGGCTTGGGATGGACCTGGAAGCTACCACCCAATTATGAATCATCTCCGCTCCAGCTCAAAGAAAAAGTCTAATTAAGTGCCATTGTACTTGGTTACTCCTTTCTAGGAGGAGCTGTGGGCACAGAGCACCAGGGCTACCTGGCTTATCAGTGGGGGTCCTCAGAGCCACCAACTCAACCCTTTTAGTTCTGGTTTTGGGCAATTGTTTGCTTGTTGCTGAAGCCCTTGACAATCCCACCCATAAATGACAACATCACTAGTGAAGCTGACAGTCTTGCTGTAATTGGGAGGAAACAGGCTGCAGCACATTTGGCAGATTGAAAGTCACCAGTAGCCAAAGTCAGGTTTGTGCAGGCAACTGTAGGGCTCAGAGCCCCCTCACCTCACATGGTGAAGTGGGGAAGGCAGTCAAGTTCTAACTAACCCAGATGGTAAAGTTGGTCCCTGGGATAGTTTTACTTCCTTGCCTCACTCTCAAGAAGGCAAGGAGGGGCTTATCTCCTCTTGTTGCCAGTTTACCTTTGGGGGAGGCTGGGAAGGGTTTATAAAAATCTCATGGTGGAGACAACTGGCCCCTAGCTGGCTTCTGCTCCAAGCTACTTCATAGCAGAGTCCAAATCCAGAACCAGTGTGTTTCATGGGCCTGAAGGTAGGACAGAGTGGCCAGAGACAAGGGTGGGGAATATCAGGGACACTGGCCATTCTTAGCAGTTCCAAGGATATGGCCTTTCTCCCAAACACCCTGCACAGGTTCCATGGCAACAGTGGCCACCTGACCTACCAAGAGGGTCCTAAACCCTCCATGGAGTGCCTCAAAGTGAGGGAGGTGGGTTCAGGCAAGGAAGACAACAAAGATGATGAAGAAGACAATGAGGATGAGGAAGATTTTGACCATGAGCCATCGATTGGAGGTGACTGACTGGAAGTACTTGAGGATCTCTGAATGGGCAGCCTCAACATCCAGCTGGGCTCCAAGCACATTCTCGTCGATCCTAGAAAGAGCCAGTAGAGAAAACAGGACACTGGGTTAAAAAGAATGCTGTGACACCCATTTATTAATATGGGAAGATGGTTACAATGTGTGGAATTAAAGTCTTTTCTACCATGTGATCTTGTGGACATGTTTGAATACACACAAGTTTTCTGAGAATAGTAGACCATGCTTGACTCTAGTTTGAAAACGTTCTGCCAGTTACCAGCTTATAACTGAGTTATTTGAAGTTTATTTTCCGTATCTGAAAAATGAGATTGACATAAACCCTGCCCACTTTCATGAGGCTTCAGTTTTCTGTGAGTTAAATGATACCCCCAATCCATATGATCACCCCAAATGGTATAATTTTTACTCTTTAGCACTTATATTATTTTTCAGGTAATAAACATGTATTACATTGTGATAATGGGTGGAAAGTTCAGACCATTACACTAAGAAAATTCTGGTTGGGCAATGGAAACAACTTATACAGACAAAGAATAATACAAGCGTTCCTTACATCCAGAGAAACAAGTCCTCAGAGGAAAGAATTTTGAAAAGTTACTAAGGCAAACAAAACCCTCCCCAGCCAATCTACATATACAATCCTAAAACCCAAATACTGTGGCTGGGTAGACAGCTCGCTTGCTCAGCAACCAAGAGGACCTGAATTTGGGTCCCAGTTACTCCCATAGCAAGCTGGCCCATACTCATAGCACAGTGGATAAATGGAGAAAGTAGGAAAGAGCTGGGTTTTGCTGGTTGTCTGAAACAAAACCAAATTTTAGGCTAAGAGAGTGATCCTACCTCAAAAGAATAAAGTAGCCAGGAATGGTAGGCGCACACCCTTAATTTCGGTGCTCAGGAAGCAGATGCAGGCTTATTTCTTGAGTTCAAGGCCAGCCTGGTCTACAGAGTTCCAGGGCTACACATAGAAACACTATCTCAAAACAAAAGGATAGAGTAATAGACATTCTGATGCCCTCCTCTGCTCATACAACACAACACACACACGCACACCGTGAAAAGAATGTTAAACCCAAATACTATCCTATGTCACAATGTCTCAGACAGTGGCCTATATAGAAAATATGACAGTCAACTAGGATTGTACTGCCTACTGACATAAAAGTTACTTGAGATCTATATAACTACACTCTGTGAATGGTAAAATCTAATGACAAGTTTTTCAAGATATAACCCCATCAGTAAGCAATGCATAATGAAATACACCTTAACTTTAGAAAAGGGAAATTTGTGGCATGGAGCCCTCTAGGAGCTGAGTATGGCCTAGGTGGGTCCAGACAATCTGGCTAGAAATGGAAAGGAAGACCTGGGCACGGCTGCAAGCTTAAGGTCCTAAGAAGACAATCATGAGGACTGAGCTCATCTAAGCATCTCAAATTCAGAAGCTTGAATTGTGGTTCTTTTTTATGTTGGAGAAGCAAAAGTATCAGGCTCATAGCTTTTGGCTATAATTATTTTTTGAGACAGGTTCTATGTAGCCTTGGTTCCTGAACTATATTACATAGGCCAGGCTGGCCTCAACTCAGAGTGGTCCACCTCTGAGTGCTTGGAATTAAAGGCATATGCCACCATGCCCAGCCCTTAATTATATTTTCTTTTGTTTGTTTATTTATTTAGGGTTTTCAAGACAGGGTTTCTCTGTGTAGCCTTGGATGTTCTGGACTCACTTTGTAGACTAGGTTGGCCTCAAACTCACAGAGATCCGCCTGCCTCTGCCTTTCAGTGTGCTGCCTTTCATATGCCACTCAGCTCTTAATTACACTTTTAAATGTGAGTACATTTTCTGCCACAATGAGTAAAGCCCATAATGGCAATTATGAATAGCTTTGCTTAACAAATAGATAAACCTTATAAATGCAACCTGGTATATAAAAGATTATAGGGGTTGAGAAGATGACACAGCAGGTACGGTACTTGTCTGAGAATATGACTTTGATTCCTGTGACCAACATGGTAGGAGAGAAACAACTCCATGATGCTGTTACTTGTATACCTAAACACACCTGCACACACTAATTCTCCTGGGGTTTTGTTTTGTTTTTAATTTTGAGAAAAGATATCCCCTGGCTGAGCTGGAACACACTATGTAAACCAGGCTGGTTTGATACAGATCCACCTGTTTCCAGAATGCTGGGGTTAAAGGTACATCCCACTATGCCCTGTGGAAAAACAATAATTTTTCCAGTTAAAAAAAAAGCGTCCAAAATGGATCTCTGAGTTTGAGGTCAGCCTGGTCTTCAGAGTGACTTCCAGGACAACCAGAATTAAAAAGAAACCCTGTCTTGAAAAGAAAAAAAAAAAAAAAAATCACAAGTAAGGCTAAGCAGGGGTGGTGGTATAGGGCTTATAAACTCAGTATTTGGGAGGCAGAGGCAGGCAGAGTTCCACGCCAGTTAGAGCTACAGAGCAGACCAGAAAAACCTTTCCAGTGAAATACATGTAATTTGTCTGGATGGAGCTTTACATTTTTTTCTTTTACATTTTATCTTGTGTTGTCTATGTGTTTGTGAGTATGTCCTGGCCCTTATATGGAGGTCAAAGGACATGATGTAGGAATTGGTGGGTTCCAGGGATCAAACTCAGGCCATCAGGCTTTATGGAAAGCACCCTTACCTGTTGAGCCATCTCACAGGTTCTTGTCTGGAGTTTTTAATTCAAGAGGAAAAAGGCTAAAAAACAATGACTACGTATGTTACACTGAGTATATAGAACACTGACTAGCATGTACAATGTTTGGGATTTATCTCAGCACCACAAAGGGAGTAGCAGAACTATATCTGATACCTATCCTCCCTGATAGAAAGGAAGTGTGACATTAAATGCTCCCTAATGAGCTTTTCCACAGTCGCTTCTGTTAAGTATTCCATACAAGCCTGTATTTGGTTTTCTAAATAACATTGAAGACCAAGCTTTTTTGTTTTGAAAGAATAGTTAACAAGTCCAACAGAAAAGTCCAGGCTACAGGATACTGCAAAGTATGTAACCTTTTCACAAGGCAGGCTAGTCAGGAAATAAAATGAGCATCAAACAGGAAACCCTCCTGCACCCCATTCTGATATCCATCTCTAGCTGGCCTTTTTCAGCCCAATTTCAACCAGACCAATCTTATAAGAACTGTAATTCCCCTTCCTGTTTTAGGTCCAAAATCCTTGTAACTGATGGGTAAGTAAGGATCAACGCCTTTGTTTTGAGACAGATGGTTCAGAATTATACAATTGATGTTAGTTGATGGTCCTGCTTCTGTCTCTGAGGATTAATAGTGCATACTACATACAGGGTTCTCTTTATTTGTAAGATGCCTTTGATAAGCCAGGCACCGTGGCACACGCCTGTAATCCCAGCACTAAGGAGGCAGAGGATCTTTGTGATTTCAAGGTCAGCCTGGTCTACAAAGTAAGGCCAGGATAGGCAGGACTGCACAGAGAAACTCTTTGCCTTGAAAAACCAATAAATAAATAAATAAATAAATAAATAAATAAATAAGTAAGTAAGTAAGTAAGTAAGTAAGTAAGAATAAAACCAACTTTTAAAAAAGTGTGTATATTAGAGGAACATAACATGTTTAATTTTAGAATATTTGCTCCAGTCCTCCCTTCCTTCCTCTTTCATTTTTTTTCTTGTAGGCTAGGGACTGGATGTAGGGCCTTACTTTATCACTGACCTATTTGTAAGCTCTTTTTCTTATATGTGTATTAATGTTTTGCCTGCATATATTAGTACCACATGCCTGCCTGCTACCTGTGGAAGCCAAAAGAGGGTGCTAGGTTCCCTGAAACTGGTGTCACATGTGGTTTTTAAGATGCTATATGGAAATTCAGAATCAAATCCAGATCCTCTTGAGAAGCAGCCAGTGCTCTTAAGCACTGTGCCATCTCTCCAGCACCACCTTTTAATTCTTTTTGAGACTGAGTCTTATGAAATTGTCCACATAGGCTGGCCTTAAATCTATAATCTTCCCAACCTCAGCCTTCACAATACTTCAGAATATAAATACAAGCAATGAAACATGATTCCTTGCTGCATTCTGAAACAAAACTCCTGGAAAAGGTTGTTTATTCTTTTTGCTTCCCTTTTCATTCTGTTGTACCAAAAACTGAATCCAGAGGCTAGTAAGTCCTAGGCAACAAGTAAGCACTCTATTATTGTTTACATCTTTCACTTGTTTTTTGAAACTGGATCTTAAAATACAGCTCAGACTGGCGCTGAACTTTCTACATAGCTAATAACCCTTAACTACTGGTTCTCCTGTCTTCATCTCCTAGGTGCACCACACCAGCCTCCTCCAATTTTTTTTTATTATTATTACTTTAACTATGTGTATATATTTGTCTGTGGAAATGTCGGATTGCCTGGACCTAGAGTTATAGGTGGTTGTAAGTCACCTGGATGATGACGGATCTTGGATTCCCGGGAAGAACTGAGTGCTCTTAAACCACTGAGGAATCTCCTCAGTCTCAGATTTGTTGTATATACATGTATGGTGTGTGTATGTATGTATGCATGCACATAAGTGCCTTTGTGCACAGACACCAGAACAATCAAGTCAGGTATCCTGTTCTACTATGTTCTTTCTTGAGACAGATGCCTCTGTGTCTCTCACTTAACCGGAATCTTACTTGTTCTAGGTAGGCTGACCGAGCAGTGAGCTGCTGTGATCTGTGTGTCTCTGCTCGCCACCTTGCCCATGTGGGGGTTTCAAGTATCCGAGGCCATATCTAGCTTTTGCATGGATGCTGGGGATCTGAACTCAAGTCTTATGTTTGTGCAACAAGCACTCTTTACCCACTGAGACAACTCCTGAGCCCTTCTCTAAAGTTTATTCTTAAACTTTGAAGTAAGATCTTCCTAAATTGCTAAAAACTTACTTGTTCCCAAGTAATTTTAAAACTGAAAATTAGTCAGAATGATGGCACTTGTCTATTACAGATAAGACACGAGAGCCTGTCTTGAACAAATATTCACTATTTGAAATTAAAATTTCTTGGTTTAAACAACAGAATGAAGATAACAGTGAAAGCGTGTATTATTTGTTTGTTTGAGACAAGATTTTACCAGTAGACCTGACTAGCCTGGAACTTGCTATGTAAACCAGACTGATGCAAGACATCTAGGGACTGGAGATAGCTCAGCAATTAAGAACACTTGCTGCTTTTGCAGAGGACCTGGGTTCAAGTCCCAGTACCCACATAGTGTTTCATAGTACTCACAGTCCAGGTTCCCAGGAATCCGAGCCTTCTTTTGCCTGCTGAGGACACTAGGCACACACGTTTCACATACAGGAATAGACGAAACACTCACACACTCACAAACCAGAACATCAAGAGATCTGCCTGCCTCTATATCTAGAGTACTGGGACTAAAGGCATATGCCACAACATTCAGCTCTCAAATTAATGTGTGCTTTGCCTGTATATTACATACAAGCCTGATGCCTGTGGAGGGCAGAAGAGAGTGTTGGATCCCCTGGTTAAAGGCTGTTGCAAAACACCATGTAAGTGCTAGGAACTGAACCAGGTCCTCTGGAAAAGGAACAAGTGCTCTTAACTGCTAAGCTATCTCTTAAACATTTTTTGAAATAGAACTTGAATATACTGGCAAAGCTGGCCTTGAACTGGGCTCAAAAAATGCTCGAGAGTAGCTGGATTTTAAGGTCAGTACACTGTGCTCCCTTCTCAGCTGTTTATTTACTTATTTTTTTAACATTTTTATTTAAAATGTTAAATAAACACAGATGTGTTGGTCAGAAGACAACTTCTGTGGCACTGGGCTCTACTTCGATCTTTACCTAGTTGCAGTGATCAAACTCATGCCACTAGGCTTGTGCAGAAAATGCCTCTGCCCACTAAGCCAACAGGCTAGTTCCACCAATTGCTTTCTTTCCTTTTTCTATGATTTTGAAGACAGATCCTAAGATTTCATGTCTGGCAGGCAATCACCAGGCTGTATTCCAGGTGCCACCTCTCCCCCCCCCCCCCTTTTTTAAAGGATCTCTCTATGTAGCCCTCCCTGGCTCCTTGAACTGACTATGTAGACCAGAGTGGCCTGAAATTTACAGAGAGATCTGACTGTTTCTGTCTCTGGAGAGCTGGAATTAAAAGTGTGCATCACCACACTAGGCCCTTAATAAATTCTTATTAAGTGAGGAGAAGCAGGTGAATCAGGACTCATAGGTGGGTAGGATTCACTTTACTCTTCCAAAGAACACCAAGCTGTCCTCAGGGACTTCAAGATGCCAATCCATGGAGGAGAGAAGGTTTCACTGTATTGGGGGGAGAGTGTCTCACCTCTGAATCGTTTCCTCCTGTTCTTTAACCATGTGTGCCAATTGCTGAAAAATGGAGCCCAGCTCAACGATTGTAGACTCAATGTTCTGCATGGTGTCTGCCCGACTCTGGATGTAGGAATCCTTCAGAAGAAAAAAGCACCTTCAACTAGGGCCTCAGTTTTTAAGACCCTTTCACCATGACACAATCCAAACACTCTGGGGGACAACAGAAGACAAACAAAGAGCTGATACTCTGATCTCAGAGCCTGGGTACCTGCTCGTCAATGAGCTGAAGTTGCTGGCTTGTTCTAGAGTCTATCATGTCGATGGCCACATCCCTGGAAGCTCGGGACTCTGTTCCCAAAACTATGGGACCACCCCCTGGGGAGGAAACAGGACATGGCACATTTTAATGGTTAAAAGCAGGTTCAGGGCCTGGCATGGTGGCACATGCCTTTAGTCCCAGGATTCCTGAGGTTGAGGCAAGAGGATCTCTTTGAATTTGAGGCCAGCCTGATCTACACAGCAAGTTCCAGGATAGCTAAGATTAGAGAGATCCTGTCTCCCTCTCCCTCCTTCCCCCGAACCCCACACAAAGCAATTCAATTAGAGTATGGTGGCACATGCCTGTTATACTAGCAATAGAGAGATGGAGGTAGGAGGGTCAGGAGTTCAATCCTTAGCTAATAATAATCGACAGGCCAGCCCAAGCTATATGAGACCCTCGCTCTAAAAACAAACAAAATCAAACGTACAAAATCCACGGGCACTAGATTTAAATTCAGTGCTGGATAGACTATTTAATCTGGGTTTCAGTTTTTCTCATCTGTATAATGGAGCAAACAACAGTTGCTTTTCCACAAGATGGTTGTGAAAATTAAATGAAAAAATATGACTAAACACACAAAATTTCACACTGCCATTCTTCTGAATATGTTTCCATTTAGCCCCATGAGAAAACATAGGGATTACGTGTGGGTCATGAAACTCAAAAACCAGGTTTGTCCTCTGGATTATGCCTAGCACCATCCTGGCCCCTCCATTCTCCTACTCCACACCTGTATTTAGACAACGCTACTGCAGGCAGAATAACTTATCCCTTAGGCTTCTCATACTATCTCTGACTTACCAAGGTGGTTGGGGGCAAGGGGCAAGGCCGACACTGGTGCCCTGGAGAACTGTTCCCGACGGTTCCTCTGCTGTTTCAGATTCTGATGTTGGGGGGAAATGCAAAGGTCCTGAGTCTCTGAAAAGTGGGTATGATGGCCCCATGACTCTGGGTAACACATTCCTTCCCTTTTTCCTCTTGGGCCCATATCACAGATTCTTACCCACTTATAGATCCCACTTACCTCAGTCCTCACTTCTAAAACTGACTTGAAGTCATTGGACATGGAAGCCAATTTTGACTAAAAGGCAAGGAAAACTGTGTCATTCAACAAAGATACTTTGTTATTCCCTTCCTCCCTCCCTCCATCCCCAAGGTCCCACCTGCAACGAAACTACAATGGTATTAGAATGGGTCTGCAGATGCCGGCCACTCTGGCTGCCCTTGGCCCTCACAAAATCTTGAAGCTGAGCAATTTGTTTGTTGAGGCTATTGATGTCCTGGTAAGAGACCAGAAGAAGAGTATCACGCAGGGGAATCGTCAGTCACTGACCCTATCTATGGCTGTCTGTCTCTAGCAGGGAAGACAAGATAAAACCTAGTAGCGGAGCGAGTGTCTAGTCAGGTCAGAGTTGGCACTAGCACTTTCCAAGCTCTGTTCATTCCTTGCAGAGAAAAGCCAGAAAAAGAAAGTTGGGGTCTCACCATTTGTAAATGAATGACTCATCTCCCCCTCTACCCTCCTGTTATACTTTACCCTAAGAGGCCAGAGAACCCTTACAAAGGTCAAAATCTTGTACCTAGAGCATGCTGACAGAATACATGAATAATACTCAAGAAAAGGCAAGCATCTCTCTAGTTTCCTAGATGCACCAAAGAAGTAAATTTTTACACAGACCTTCAATACTGCAAAAGATCAGCTGTGATTTATTTATCAAAGTTATATACAGTGACTTCATATCACAGCCTATGTGTTACCTGCATCCCATTCTCCACCGTGAGGACGGAGAAAACCTGTCCCAACATACTATCACCCAGGAGGAGATGGAAGGTATTAAGAATCGTGAGCAGGAGGGCCAGCAAGATGGCTCGGCAGATAGAGAAGCTTGCTGTCATGCCCGGCAACCTGAAGTCAACCCCAGGGATCCACACAAATGTTGCAGGTTATTTGAGGAGATAACCAGCTCCACATGCATGCTATGGCACTCAGGCACCACCCCCCAAAACACAAATAAATGTAATTTAAAATTTTTAAAAAGTGAGAAATATACTTAAGATTAAATTTATGCATTTCTAGAGGTTTTCAAGGTAGACAGAACCCCACTACTTTCCAGACCCCTGGACTCATTTTCATTAATGACAGGTTTACCTTTCTAGAGTTTCAGACCCAAATGCATTTCAGGGTTTGTTTGTTTGTTTGTTTGTTTGCCATAATAGCTCCTTCCTTGGGTTCTAGCTCAGGAAAAGTACTATTTCCCATGCAGGAACTCAAGGCAAAAGCTTCTACTCAGCCACATCTCCTTATCCTACCTACCTGCTATTTTACAAGTATAATCTACGATACTGACTGGATAGGAGCTCACCTGATCAGAACCATAACCTGCTAAGTGCTTACTGTATGTATACTCAATACTATATCAAACATAGTAAGGGTGTGGGGCAGCAAACACAGGCCTGGGCTTCTTTCCCTGCATCCCAAACAAAACATTTAAACAAAAAAAAAAAAAACCAAAAAAACTCATTAACTGTTTTTTATTTATTTACTATTTAAGCATCTTGCAACTTTCACTCCTAAACTTAACATAGAAAACCCTACTACTTAACAATTCTTAATCTATCTCCCTCCAGGACACATCTCCTCTGCCTTGTCTCCATTCTAGTAAATATACCACCGTTTACCAGATGCTGGTCATAGCAGCTTATACCTAAAATTCCACCTGAGGTAGATAGACTTCAATGAATGTAAGGCCAGTCTACAGTCTGAGTTACAGAATGAGACTCTGTCTTAATACAAACAAATGGGCTAGAGAGCTGGCTCGGTGGTTAAGAGCACTTGCTACTCTTGTAGAAGACACTGGTTCAACTTCCAACACCTACATGGTACTCAAAACTACCTGTAACTGCAGTTCTGGGGAACCCAATGCCTTCTTCTGGCCTCCATAAGCATCAGGCACACATGTGGTACAAACAGATATATGTACACAAATCATTCATACACATTGCAAAAAAATGTTAAGTAGGCATGGTGCTGCATTCCTGTAATTCCAATACTTAGGAGGCAGAAGCAGGTGAAGTCTATGAGCTCAAGGCCAATCTGGTCTACATAATGAGACCCTAAAAATAATAATAATAATATTATTATTATTATTATTATTATTATTATTCCCTTTTCCTCATATCCATTTGTTTTGTTTTTGTCTTCCAGTGTATATTCTAAATTTATCCACATCATCTCCTTTTCTAACTCAAGTACCTTAACCATCTTCTCTACTCTCAAAAATGTCCCAGATGGCTCAGTGGTTAAGGGCACTTACTGTTCTTCCACAGGACCTGGGCTCAAATCCCAGCACCCACATGACAGTTCACAACTGTCTGTATCTCCAAGATTTGACACTTTCACATAGACACGCATGCAGATAAAACACTAATACACATAAAGATAAACAAATTTAAAAGACTGTCCTCTTTCCAGTCTGCCTTCCTATGATCTGTTGCCTAAATAGTGGTCAGCGTTATCTTTAAAAGCAAAATCAGGGGAGGCATTGTTACCCTTCTGCTTGAAAATCTTTCCAGAGCTTATGACTCAATTGAGAATACAGCCTAAATGCCTAAGCTGCTTTACACAGGCCCTTTCTGTCTGGCCACTGCCTGCTTTTGTTTTATATGGCACCTGTGCTTTCCTAACCCTTCCTTTTCCTTGCCCATTTTTCTACTTTTTGGAATGTATTCCCACCCTATCTTCAGATGAACTGCTTTTCCTCACTATACAGACATAGGCTCAAATATCACTTCTCCAGACAGACCAGCTTGGATCAACCAATGCAGTAGTTTTAGCCTTGAAAAAGCCAGTGTCAGTGACCGACAAAAGCAAACAAATGATCTTCAGAAGATCTGTGGGACAGGTACTTTAATTATCTCTGCCTTCTTGGTAAGATAATGGCAGCTCAGTAGTTAGGAGTCACACAAGGTCACAACCCAAGTGAGTGACAAAGGCACTTCAAGTTCTTCAGAATCTAGTGGGATAGTTCTTAAGTGGTAAGAAGTAACACCCCAACAGTAATCTAATACTCTCTTCCATCAACACAGCACCCCTTAAAACAGGTTTGCTCTTTGACCTCTGCCTCCATATTGTATCAGAACACCATAGGAGCTGCCTTCTTAGCCTCTACCCCATCCCATCCACATTCCAGATTAGACTCTATGTGTTGCCCAGAATATTCAGGATGATTCTACATTTGTTATTACGCTCCACAATGCTCTGTACAACTAGCCACTCAAACAACCAACTTCTTGACAGTTACTCATTTAAACAACCAAAAGTCAGCCAGACATGACTACAAGCATTTGTGATATAGCTGTGAACAAGCAGAAAGAAAAATCCTGAGCAGGCATGGTGATACACATTATAATCCTTGTGCTTGGGAGGCTGAGGCAGGAGACTCACAAATTAAACACCAGCATGGAGTCATGCATAATAGCATATGCCTTTATCCCCAGCACTCAGGAGGCAGAGGCAGGCAGATCTGAGTTCGAGGCTAATCTGGTCAATAAAGCAAGTTCCTGGAGAGCCAGGGATATACAGAGAAACCCTGTCTGAAACAAACAAACAAAAAAAAAACACCAGTCTTGCCTATTCATCCAGACAGTCTCAAAACCAAAACAAAGAACCTGCTCCTAGGGTATCAGTGTATCTTTTATCCCCACTTCCCACTCTCTCTTTTTTCTCTTCTCTTTCTTTTGGATAAGTAGAAAGGACATAGGAAATGAAGACAAACATAAAATAATTACAGAGAACGTGACTCCTGATACTTGAACTTTCCCTTTCTTTTCTTTTTTTTTTTTTAAATAGTTTCTCTGTATAAGCCTAGTTGTCCTGGAACGTCACTATGCAGCCGAGGCTGGCCTCAAACTCACTGAAACCCACCTGCCTCTGGGATTAAAGGCAAGCGCCACCACCATCCTGGCTGAAGTTTCTTTTTTTCTAAGCAACACTGTATATAGCTTCCCTAGCCTAGTAAGTCCTTTTACTACCTCTATATAAACTCTGACTCCAGCTAACATTATATAACTTCTGTCAATCTTTCCCAATATCCTGTTTCATTCATCTTTTTTGTCAAATCTTTTCTATACTATCATCTACTCATCTTAAGCCAAAGCTCTTGATGCTGGGTAACTCTTAAGGAAAATGAGCCCTTGAAGACAATAATCTTGCTTCATAGTTGTTTTATCAGCATCTAGAGCAGTGCTTTATAAATGTTAGATGATCCTAAGACTCTATTAACTCAATGGAGGATCAGGGTGTTTGGACATGGGTCTATATACTTACCCTGGGGATTCATGGCGATGGAAAATGATGGAAGTAATCTAATTAGAATGCTGGGCTCTCCTGATGGCTAGCAGCTCACCTGTTTGATGATGTACGTTAGCTCCTCAATTTCTACTGCTTTATCATCAAAGAGGGACTTGCGCTTTGCCACTGCAGAGACAGATGAGAAATTACAATAGGTGAGGGTAATAACAAGGCTCAAAGGTCTAAGAATACAGTTTAGTGATAGAGGCCTTGCCTTAAATCCCCAGCATCACAGAAAAAAAAACAAAAAAACAAAAAAACCTCCAAGAGCCTCACCTCCTAGTACTATGTTTCACTGTCCCACATAGGAAAAGACCTCCCAAACACTCACAGATTGTTAGCTTCTCCAGCTTGGCAAAGGTATTGCTGAGATCTTTCCCAATGCGCCTGCAAATGATCATTAGTGAAAAGGTTGTGGTAAAGGGCAAGAAAGAGGCTATTCCCTTAAGGTTCAAAACAACCAGTCCCACTCAGCCAAATCACCACAGGCATATCTACTTCTTAGACATTGTATCACCCCACCACAAAGCCTCCCTCAACTCACTTGGCCATGAGGGTAAATTCACTGCGTTGTCGGGCAGCACGTAGGGCTGGTTTATTTGTTTGGATTCCATTCTGAAAGGTAATGTCAAAAAGTAACTAGTTTAGTTCCCATCACTATTCATGCTCAGATTTTCATTGCTCCCTCACATACTCAACACTCCAGTGCTGTTGGTTTCAGACAATCTAAGTTTATCAGTGATTTATAGCTAAAAAAAAAAAAAAAAAAAAACAGATGTAGATTTAAATCCGGTACTCATCGCTTGTGGTATTTAGGACAAGTTAAATTATTTTTAATTTCTACTGAAGAGAATCCGTCCACTTCTACTAGTAAGATTCGATCATCTAAAAGTTGAAAAGTTTAGACAAGTAGTAAACAAAACGTAAGCATTAACTAAATGGGCTCACACCTGTCTTTCCACTCCAGGTCCTTACCTGACGGCTCTGCAGCGACTTGCAGGCAGACAGGAACTCCTGGGTCCGATCCCGGCAGGACATGGTGTCGGGAGGAGAGGGGACCTGGGCCACCGGGGTGGGCAAAGGAGCGATGTCGCTGCTGCTACTGATAGCAGTTGCAGGGGACAGAACCTGCGTCTTTGAGAGACCCAGGTAGACACCCTGATCCGTGTTCTTAGATCCGTAGCGTTTCCGCGGGATCATCGAGTCGCATAACCTCGGACTGTTGTAGAGAGGAGAATATCATTCTCCAGAGAGTCGAACCCAAATTCTCCCCTCAACTAGAAAATCCTCAGTCCCTTTCGCGTATCTGACAGACTTTCGAGCCCAGGCCACCCGCAGATCCTGCAGTCCGGCCACAGCGGGAAGGGTCAGCTTCCTCCAGGCCCAAGCCGAAGCCTCCTCAGATTTTCCTTCCAACTTAGCTCTGACAGCCAAAGCACCGGCAGGGAGCTCTAATGCCGAAAAAACAGCCAGAAGCTGATCCTGCGGCCCTGAGCCTCCAGACAGACATTTGCTGTTGGCCCAGGTCTTAATCGTGACCTCTGATATACGAGATTTCCTTCAACTTCTCACGGAAAAAAAAAAAAAGGATAACAACCACAATAACAAAAACCTGAAATCGACCAACAGAGGTGGGCACACTCCGGTGGGCGGAGGGGAAAAAACAAACAAACAAACAAAAAAAAACAACAACCAAAACCTCTTAAGTTATTTATTTGAAACAGGAAGTCCCACCTCCATGAAAGTTCCGCCTGTTGGAAGACTGCAGCCGCTGATTGGACTGGGACAAAGTCTTTCTCAACAAGGCCGTTCCTGATTGGACAGCCGGGTATTCGCTTACGCGGAGCCTCCAGCAGGACTTGGCCCTGCCTCCCTTCCCCCCTCCCCGGCAAGCCGCTGCCCCCCGCTGAGCCGACCGACAGCGGCTAGGCTCCTACTCGAGCGAAGCCTTACCTCCTCTGATGCCTACCGCCGCAGCCACTGCCACTCTCCCCAGGCCGTCGGAGCCTCCTCGCCGGACTTGTACGGCGCCGAAACCGGACCAAAGAGTAGGAGCCGCCACGTCACCCACACGTACCCCGACCCCCGTGACGTGGCTGATGTGCCACGCCTTTTCTCGCCCTGAGATGGAAAGAACACAGCCCTGCCCCAGCAAGCTCGATTCCGCCCTCCTATTGGCTAGGTTGCCGACTCGGCCCCGCCCCTAAGGCTCACGAACAAATACCAAGGGGCTGGGCCGGAGGAACCTTACAGAGCTTGCGGCCGAGAAGCCTACAGAGCTGTAACTTGCTCTGTAAACCAGCCTGGCAGATCTGCAATACTAATTTTATTCTCTGGATTGTTAGGGAGGATTGAGACCAGGGTTGGAGTCAGCCCTTTCCTGATTCCTTGTGGGTTCCGTCACGTTTGCGCTCCTGTGTTTTACTGTCCTGCTTTTGCATCTGATCTGAGGCCCTCTTGCTTGACCGTGAGGACCCCCGACGGCTGAACATGGATAGCCTGCGCCACAGCACGGTGATCAGAAGACTTTCGTTAGATCTTTGTTTACGGCGGCCTGTGTTCTCAAAATCAGTGTCGACGCCTGTAAGAACCACGTTGGCCACTTAGTGCAGTTCTGTTCTTTCCAGCCCCACCGCTGGAGCAATTCCTTGGTGTGGGGGAGGGGGCGGGAAACCTCCCGCTCCTGCAACCCTTTTTTTGTGTCTGGTTCTACCTTCCTTACCTCCCTCATTCACTTCATCCCTTCCATGCTCTTCAGAGGGCCGATGGTCCTTATCTTGACAGCAGCCCATGGCCCAGAATGGTGCAGGACTCTGCCACCCTCCCCAGGCTGCCCAGCTTTTGTGACGTCACGTTTTCCACCCACAAGACACCTCTCCTTTCTCCCATCACAAAAGGTTCATGATCTCAGTGTGTGTTGGGTGGTTTATTAACAAAGTGAGCAAGGGGCTTCAAGGACTAGTAGATCCAGGCCGCTTCTTTTTCTTCCTGCTGCTTTGGCGAACACCTTGTGTCTGGTCCAAATCAGGGAGCTTCCGCTTGGCAGCTGCCTCTAAAGATGCCCAAAGTTCATCTGTCTCTGTGTCTTCTTGGGGCACCATGCTGGCTTCTTGAGGTTCTTGGGGCTCATCCTGATGAGTGAGAAGGGCACTCACGATAGGCACAGGGAAATATACTGGCTGAAAAATAATTCCTTTGGGTACCACTGCTTTGATCTAGAAACCAATACCCTTCTGTTTTGGAGTACCTCACCCTTGGCAATAAGCCTAGAAGGGTTTGAACATCCCTCAGAGAAATTAACTTACAGTAAAGAGACAACCCTGTTCTGTATTCTGCCTCCCATTCTTTCTACAGAGACTCCCTCACCATCATGCCTTTGGCTCCCAAATTCCCACACCCTAACTAGCTGCTCACCTCCCAGTTATCCCGGCCTGACAGGAGAAGGCAATTCAGTTGAGACTTGAGATAAACCTGTAAAATAAACCGGGATATGGTGGAGGCAGAAGCAGGTGGATCTCTGAGTTCAAAGACAACCTGGTCTATAGAGTGAGTTCTAGAACACCAAGGCTACACAGAAAAACCCTGCCTCAAAAAACAAACAAAAAACTTCTGTAAAATAAAAGGGGACTTAGACCAGACAAACTGAGACAGAAACTTTAATGTGGGACACAGGAAACGGGATAACCTCCAGAAAAAGATAAGTTAAGAGTGGATGAATGCCAGAGGGTTAAGCTCTCACCTTATGCTCTAGCCCACGTGGATTGCGGATCCTGTGTATCCTTAAAACTCTGTCCAAGCCACAAGAGGCTAACAGGGGCTTGGAAGGGTGGCACTGCAGCCCACGCACACTGCCTGCCAGCCCCTTCAGACAGCCCAGTAGACGCCCTGAAGAAAGGTAGAAGGCATCAGTGCTAGCTACCCAGCCCATGAACATCTTTTCTAATTACTGTTATTGTTCAAACCACTTATGTTTCAGTACTTAATCCTCAAAATGACCTAGAAACAGGAGTTAGCAATGATACTCCATTATTATAGGTGAAGAAACAAAAGCTTCATGATCTCAGTGTGTGTTGGGCTGTTTATTAACAAAGCAAGGGGCTTCAAAGGCTGGGGACCAAATAACTAGCCCAAGGTACGGTTTTTGGTTAAATCAGAACCTGAACACAAAGAATGAATGTGCCACTGACAGGGCTCTGTGACTCCCTGACTTCCTCTTTGTCCCTTCCCCTTTTCAAGCAACCCATCATCCACTCACCTTGCCGAAAATCAATTTCTGCCAGCTGCCCATGAGTGTTTCCTACGATGACAGAACTAAGGAGGAGACCACATAAAGGGGATTCAATATGTCTTCTGAAGTCCTTCCAGGGCATTTTCCCTTTCCCTCAACACTCACTTGCCCTCAGGAGTAAGGGTCATAGTTGTCAGTGGGTACTCTCCATAGGTAGCCTCTAGGACTGGCCTGCGCTGGGGGGAGAGTGGATCGTATACACGGACCTAGAAGAAGACTGAAGTATCATAAGAGTATCCTTACTCACATTGGCCCCGGTATCTTCATATTTATCATCATCCTTCTGAAGACTGCCTACTATTATTATTTTCTTGGTGGTGGTTATTGTTTTGAGACAGGGTCTCTATATAGCCCTGGCTGTCCTGGAACTCACTCTGTAGACCACGCTGGCCTCACAGTCAGATCCACCTGTCTCTGCATCCCAAGTGCTGGGATTAAATGGTTGCACTAACATGCCTAGCAAGACTGCTTTCTCATTTAAGGTATGCACCTTATCTCATCTCAGAATTTTGGGGGAAGGGCTCGGGAGCATGAGCACAGTCTGAAAGCAGTGGAGGGATAGAAAGGCAGATTAGACCAAAGTTTAAAAAGTGGTAAATTCCAAGCAAGGAAGCTTAGTCTTACCAAGGGAGGAATGGGAAGTTCTCCATATGTTGTGAGCAAAGCCCTAGTACCTATATCAGACTTTAATGTACAGGACTATACAAATGGCAAATAGTGACCCAACCCTGCCCACTTGTCTTAGAACTTCAAATGAAATAGGCCACAAAGATCCTTAGCCAAGCCCTCACTCAAAACTGGAAGAGCTGAGACCAGAGAGTCGTCCCCAAAGCAAATCAGACTATACGTGGACTACAAAGTTCTGAGACCATACCATCCAAAATATACCCAATCTTGTCAGATCTCATGAGCCTGGTTAGTACTAGATGGAAGGACTATAGAACTGTTTTGACAGCCAACCTGAGGTATCTGTTCCCTATGAAACCTAGTAGAGGAATACTCCCTTTGCTTTCCCTTCTAGGTAGGAGAAATAAAAAGAGTTTAGGAAATTCCACCCTTGAATGCAGTAAGGGAAAGTCGTAGGCTCAGACAGAGGAAGTATGATCTCCTTTCAGATCCCAGGAGTAAGCAAGAGAGCCTCACCTGGTGGTACCCTGTGCATGTGACAAGTTTCTGTGACCCAGGGAGGAACTGTACATCCTGGTCCCAAATAGGAACCCGTAGATCGAGCCAATCATTTCGCACCTGGTGTGGAAGGGACATGTGACACAAGGCATTGGTAAGCCTGACCTGTTTCTTTCAGTCCTCTAATCCCTATCCTCCTCCCTCCATAAAAAAAATAAATAAACCATCTAAGCTCTAATCACAGTCAGTTGCTTCCACTTCCCCCAACCTCAGACAGCATCTCCCCAATCATCACTCACATTCTTGGATCTAAACACAGGCTCTTCAGACCCCTGCAGGTCCCATACTTTCAAAGCATTCTCTTTTCCACATGTGGCAACCACATGGGTGCGTGTGGGGTCTTGGCGCATCCTACACACTCCAGGACCCACCTTTCGTTCCAAGAGCTGAAAAGAATCAGAGATGAGTCGGTCCCAGAGTCCTTAATCTTTCCTCTACCAAATTCCCCATTAGACCCCTAATCTGGTTTCCACCCTCCTCAAAGGCTGGGGCAGGTGAATCTTACTGGGTCTGAGGATACTTCCTTGTCATTGTCACACCAGACTCTGAGGATCCCAGAATCCACACATGTAATAAGGGCACTGCAAGCAGGGAAGGGAACATTGGGATGTTAAAAAGTGTAAGCTAGGTTTTGTGGTGCATACCTACCTATAAGGGCAGTGGGGAGAGGGGTGTTCAAAGTAAATCTGAGCTACCTGGTGAGTTCATATGCCATCCTGGCTATATAAGACCTAGTCTCAGGAAAAATAAAAATAAAAAGCAAGCTGGGTATGGTTGTACATGCCTTTAATCCCAACACTTGGGAAGCAGAGGTAGGCTGATCTCTGTGAGTTCCAGGACAGCTAGGGCTACATACAGAGAAACCATGTGGGAGGAGACAAAAACCAACCAAAAAAACAACCCAAACCAAACAACAATAACATAAACCTCTTCCCAAGAAGCCCAAGCCTTTTCCCAGGCTCTGGATAGCCTGTGCCTATGCTTTTCCTCACATCTGCCTACCTGGGTTCAAGCTCTATATTGCTAGCCTGGGCTGTGGCTCAGAGCTCTGTCCATGGCACTTCCCATTCAAAACCCAATATACTCTAATACCTATGAAATAAAATCTCAACTTAGTACAAAAGCCCTCTTTCTATTTAATCTCAACCAAATACAAAGCCAAACTTCCATGTACATGATAATTTCTTGATGTCAACCTCCAAATTTACTACTTGTCCTATGTATGTAAACTTTTAGTCTTTTAACCTGTCCTTAGTCTCTGCATTTTAGAATGTCCTTACCTCTTCTCTGTCAATATTACTCCTGTACCTGAAACCCAGTTCAAAACTCCACCCTCCTTCAGGAGCTCACCTGTTGAATTACCAAAGCAGCCTTCTCCATTGATCTAGAAAAGCTGCACCTAGGTTACTAACCTACGTGACTCTTTCTTCCTAGCCAACACTTCGGAAGCTTCACTATCTTGTTGATTTTTGTTAGTCATTACTTAAAAGCATGTTCAAAAGCACTTAATTAGTTGCACATAAAGGAGCCAGAATAGAAACTCTAGGATGCAAACTTTATAAAGACACATGGTTTACCCAAAATCCTTCTATTTTTCCCTCATGCCTGGCATTTAGTAGCTGTCTAATAAATGCATGTTAGACGGATGAATGAAGGCTAGATTCTTGTTTTCAATCACCTATCCCATCACCTAAGGGAGTATTCAGTATTCACTAAGTATTCAGTTCACCCAAGGGAGCCTCAAACTAGGGTGTGGTCCTTACCCATCGGCCTGGGCGAGACCTCGGAACGTGCCCTCCCCACCTGGGCAGTATCTCTGGCTCTGAAATGTACCCTCCTCGGCATCAAAGTGCTTCACGGTCCTGTCCGCGCAGCCCACCAAGATCTGACAGCAGAGAAAGGAAGGATGGGGAAAGAGCAAGGCTTCCGGGGCGTATCCTAGCTCCGGCCTGGCCAAGAGCCACTCACCTGGGTCTCGCCACCTATACCCCAGCACAGAGCATTCACTGCCTCCTCACGCCGTGGCTTTCCGGATGGCGTGAAGTTCGCCGCATGTTTCCGCTGAAGGTTCACCCCTGAGGGACGAGAACATCAGTCACGCTGGGTTACAAACAAGCGACTCCTGCACCTTCCGATGAACAACTCAGATACTCACCTTTCAGGATCCCAGTCTCGGTGCCGACCCACACATGGTTCCAGCGAGCAGCCGGAGCAGCCATCGCAGGGTAGCCGACGCCTCGCACTTCCGGCGCGCCACACGCTGCATCATCAGGGGCGCCGGATTCAATCTGACAACGCCGCTCCGTCCCTCACTACCCCGCCCAACCTCTCTTTTCTCGCCCTACTTCCTCATTCCCTCCCCTCTTACCCTCACCCCTCAAAAAGGCACACACCTTCAATCTTAGCACTCCGGAGGCAGGGGCTGGTGGATCTGTGTGAGTTCGAGGTCAGCCTAGTCTACAAAGTAAAACCAGGGCAGCCAAGGCTACATAGAGAAACCCTGTCTCGAAAAGGAGAGGAAAAAAAAAATTAAGGATCATCTTGTGCTGTCATTGAAAAGCATTCTCTCTGAACTACAATGCTGGGTGGAGCCAGGTCTCATAGGTCTCCCTGAGCATTCTGTGTTGGCTATATCCCACACTATTTCAGAAGTCATTATTTTCTAATTATGTGTCAGTGTGTCGGAACTCCTGGAGAGAGCCAGAGTTGCTGATGGTTATGATCTGCCTTGTGGGTTCTGGGAATGGAACCCAGGTCCTTTGGAGGAGCAGCAGTGTTCTTAACCGCAAAAACATTTCTTCAGCCCCATGATTCATTATTAATGAGGTTCGTGACTTCATCCTTGACTGTAAACGAAAACTAAAAATGGAAAGTGAAACTGTCAATTCGTTTAGCTCAGTTTTGAAAAGTAGAGACCAGGTTGTCATTGAGACTTCGTAAAAAAAAAAAAAAAAAAGGCTCTAATTTAGAAAATACAAATTCACAAGATTAATAAAAAACATTTTTCTAAGTCAAGTGTGGTGGCACACATCTGTAATTCCAACACTCAGAAGGTTGAGCCAGTTTGGACTACATAGGACTAAAACGAAGAGACTGTCTCAAAAAGTGTGTATGTAAACTGGGTAGTGGTGGCAAATGCCTTTCATCCCAGCTCTTAGGAGGCAGGGGCAGGCAGATCTCTGAGTTTGAGGCCAGCCTGATCTACAGAGTTCCAGGACAGCTAGGGATGCACAAAAAAAAAAAAAAAAAAAACCCTGTCGAAGGAAAAAAAAGTTTACATCAGACATTCTCCCAAATATACGGTACAGAGCTTGAGAGAGAGAGATGCCTAACAATCTTCTTCTTTTTTCTAATAATTTATTTAATTTTATATGCATTAGTGTGAAGTTGTGAGATCCCTTGGTATTGGTCTTATAGACAATTGTGAGCTGCCATGTGGGTGCTGGGAATTGAACCCAGGTCCTTTAGGAGGAGCAGACAGTGTTCTTAACCACTAAGCCATCTCTCCAGCCCTCACCTAACAATCTTCTAAACAAAACTTTTTGGCCAGGTGCTATGGCTTGGCGCAGGCCTGTAATCCCAGCACCCAGCACTCGGAGAGGCAAAGGTAGGCAGATCTTTGTGAGTTCGAGGCCAGCCTGGTCAACATAGGGAGTCCATGATAGCCCAGGCTATTACACAGAAAAACCCTGTCTCAAGAAATCCAACGAAAGTTTTAAAATTGTGCCAATAGAATGAAACATTGCATTCTTGCCTTTTGATAAACAGCCTACATCTGCATACTCAGGTTTTCTGAGTTTAGGGTTCCACAATAATAGTAAATCATTCTGGTTCCTACAATAAAACAGCCCCACCATCAAGGCTTGAAGGTAAATTCCACACACAAACCTACATTACCTACATTATACAAAGAAACACCGTAAGTCAGAGAAACTTCTACTTGCCCCTCAAGTACTCAAAGCATTTATGAAGATTTCAGCCTCACTTTATTTTTTTTTTAATCTCACATTGAAACAAGTTTTCGGCTGGGAAGATGGTTCAGTATTTAAGAGCACTGGTTGCTCTTCCAAAAGAGTTGGGTTCTGTTTGCACCCAAGTAGAGGATTACAATGTCTGCCATGGAACCTGACACTCTCTTTTGACCTCCAAGCATACATATGGTGCAGGCATACAAGTAGCCAAAACACCCATAAGCATAAAAAAAAAAGACAATAAGGAGCAAGTTTTACTCCTCTGAGAACACTGAAACAAAACTGACAATAAAATGCTGGAAAACCGAAGCCTAAATGACAGGCTTTCATGTTTTTGCAGCTTTCATGTTGTGCTGTATTAGAATGTACCCCCAAACTGTGTACATGCATTCAGAGACCTAGAACTCATTGGAAAAAAAAAAAACAAAACAAACAAACAAAAAAGCCAAGAGGTCTGAAAATGAACAACCATGTACATAAAGTTGAGAAGATGGATATACTAAGAACAGTTAGGGCCGGGCCGTAGTGGCATGCACCTTTATCTCGGTACAGACTAAGGCAGAGGCAGGAAGAATTCTGAGTTGAGATAGAGGTCAGTCTGGTTTCAGGACAGTTTCAGGACAGCCAATGCTACAAGGAGAAACCGTCTCTGAAAACCATAAAAACAGAAGTGTCACAAATAAGGCCAGCCAAGGGTGGTGGTAGACAGCTTTTAATCTCAACATTTGGAAAACAGACTACATGATGAAACATGTTGCTACCAGTTCTTGTAAAGTTCCTATGTTTAGAGACTTTTTTTTTTTTTTTAACATCATATATTGCTAGGGAGAATATCATTCCTGGAAGCACTGTGAGAGTGAAGGGTTTTCTTTCTTTTTTTTTTTTTTTTTTTTTTTCCCATTTCCTAGTCTGTGAAACAGACTTTACATATATATTGATCTTAACCAAAAGGCTCAGAAGTTATACTGTCACTTCCTTCTTCAAGTTAGACTTAGCTGTGGCCCAATATTCTAACTATTTCCCAACATACAGATTTTAAAAAATAAATGTTTCAGGGCTGGAAAGATGGCTCAATGGTTAAGAGTGCTGTCTGCTCTTCCAAAGGACCCGGGTTCAATTCCCAGAACCCACATGGCAGCTCACAACTGTCTGTAACACCAATTCCAAGGTATCTGACACCTTCACACTAATGCACATAAAATCAAAATTACATAAATTAAAAAAATAAATGTTTCACAATTCATACTACACAATAGGAGTATATTTTTAGAAACAGTACTTAGAAAGTGTCCTTTACTTTCTGCCTCATTTTGTATAATCCCACAGATCCCACTTTAAGGCTTGAGATTCGTCCACATACTTTATATTTGCAATGCCTAGGTGATCTCTTGTTCTTCCAGCTTGTCAGTCTGTTTTTTTTTTTTTTGGGGGGGGGAAGGGTTGTCCCAGTGGGACTAAAGTAGGGAGTGGCTTCCTAGGTACTGCTAGAGGACATGGCAAGGTTTCAAAGCTCAGGTTTAGGAGTTCAAAGAACTGTCTTGATTTCTGCTTCCCAGTTCTGAACATGATGTAAAGCTTGCGTCTTAGGCTCTTGTCACCTCTTTTATTAAAAACGTATAAACAGGCTGGGCAGTGGTGGTGCATGCCTTTGATCCCAGAGGCAGGCGGACCTCTGGTCTACAAAGTAAGCCTAGGACAGTCAGGGCTACAAAGATATACAGTCTCAAAAAACAAGTGTCAACAGTACAGGAAATATGAGCACTGGAAACAGTGAAAGGACATCAGTGTCCAACAGAGCCTTGGTTTTTTTCTGCATCCCACTTCTACCTTTGTGGATACCGGTTTGTGATAAAAGGCTCATTATGCTTGTCTTGAGGTCCTCTTCCAAGTGGTATCAGCACTTTCCAGGTAGTACCCAACCTGGACAAGGCCCTGCCAGAACCACATTCTCCACTCCAGTTAAGTAAATGGAGGCAATTTTGTCCATCCCCCTGCCCCCACCAAGTCAAAGCCTGCCTATATGCAAGAACTACCCTGGCTAAGAAAGGGCTTCAGCTTTATTCCCTTGGAAACAGTATTAAATTGGAAACCTAGTTTTAACCCTTAATCTGGGTTAGAAATAAAGGTTTGGCTTTATGTTTTTTCTTTTCAATAGTTTCTGGTTTCCTCACCGTAACAACCCCAGCTCTCCTTGAACTCACCTGGTAGATGAGGCTGGTCATCGGAGACTTGTGCCACTAACCCCCCCAACCCAGTTTTTTCTTTACTAAGATTAATAGTGGCTCCCATAGCCCAGACTTCCCTAATGCATCCCTTTTGCCTGTTTCATTTAGGCAGGCACCTGAAGGATTAGTGGGACAGCAATACAGAATGGCTTATCTGAAACAAATGTCTACTTGCAGGCACGTCTCAGCCTTGTTGCCACTTGACCTTTTTCTGGCCTTAGAGCAGTACCCTGAAGTTCATAAGCTCTGCAGGCTTGCAGCACTTTTAGTACCTTCACGGCCAGCCCTTCTATCAACAGTTAGGTGGCTCCTTTTCATGACCAACTCACCCCTTTATTGTATATTGGTAACAAAGACTCATCAACTACCACAAAAAAAAAAAAAAACCCTTCAAACTTGGCGATCCTTGGAAACCATGTAGGAAAACGATCTCTAACCTTCCAGGAAAGGCCTGGGTTTGACTCCCAGCATCCATGTTGGCTTGACAGCATCTAGAACCTCCCTCTCAAGAGATCCAGTACTGACTGGTGTCAGCCAACATATCCTAACCTGCCATCAGGATCAAAGTTCTAAAGCAGTAAATGGTAGCCCATGCACTTAAGCCCAGAAGCATGATTTAATGTGCATTGCTGTTTCGCTTACATGTCCATGAGGTTGCCTACAACCTCTAGAAGTGCAATTAGTTTTTAGTTATGGTATGGATACTCCAGGTCCTCTGGAGGAGCACTGACCATCTCTTCAGGCACCAGTGATGTATTTAGAAAAAACATCTATAGATTACCTAGAAGACAAATTCTCAGCCACTTCCTGGTTTGCCAGGTCTGTGTCAGAACTAAATTACTCTAAAAATTCCAATTAAAAATCTCAAATCTGATAAACCTTAGGTTTGTATCTGGTTCACAGCAGATACAATGGATCTGCTAGCAGGTATTTAGCAAATAGAGGACTCACAATAAATGGAAAAAAAGAACTTTATTAGTAGGAATAGATGACAAACTCCAAATAACCAAAACTGCAGGAGGATGATAAGAGATCTTTGTTGTTTGTTCCTGTAAAGAGGAAAAAAAAGTTAAATCCAAAATCAGGTAGCATGCCCAAACTTAACACTTAAGACTATTTCTCATGACCTAAAGGACCACCTACCATTTACACCCGGCTCATGCTTTCCTCAGACCTGTAAGACATAAACCACCTTATGTTTTTCATCAACTGACAAAAACTTTTCCCTTTCTGTGTACAAGAATGCAATCCCTCAGACAGTTCCTTCTGGAACAAATGTTCCTCTTATCCCCCAGCCAGCCCCAGTGGGTTCACCTTTTCAGGCTCTGGAGCTAGGACAGGAAGTAAGACGTGTGAATGTTTCTTCATGGGGAAATTATAATTCATTAGACCTTACATTATTTGTTTTCTCACCTCACTTTAGCTGGGATTGTGAAGACATGATTTCCTACAAGATAGATCAGAAATTGGCAATTATCCCTACTGCTTAGAAGAAAACTTTACATGAAAGCTTATTCTATATAAATCATGTGCTCACTTAAACTTCTTCCTGTTTGTGAGGTAAGCTCACAACTCAGAAAATACCTTTCTTCAGTCATCAGACTGGGGCGGTATTCAAATCATCATGGTGAGCAGGAACACACTAGATTGAGGCGTTACACAACGTCACATCTAACAAACTATACCAAGTATCAAAAAGCCTTTTACCTGGCATGGCTCAGAGTCTGGCCCAGACACCGACCTGAAACAAGACAATTATCAACAGTTTAAATCTTACAATTGACAATTCTCTTGTAACCCATCATTTTGAGAAAAAAAAAAAAATCAGATTTCCAGGTCTCAGCAGCAATCATCAGCCGAACGAGATTCTATGAAAGTCATCATATACATGCCTTTTAGGAATGCACCAGAGTAAAATGCCCAATGCATGCACCAGAGTAAAACTACTCACCTATGCATCAACAAGTATGGATGTTTGGCGCTGCTATCAGAACCTGGGTAAAAGAAAGCAAACTATGTAACAGATGGCTGGATTCAGGCACCTTGGCCCCACCCTACTCTGCAGTTTCTCAGGTGTTCCTGTGTTTTCACTGGCAGTCATAGTGAGCTAGTTTGATTCATCATGGAAACTGTCAACCCAGTGAACAAAACCCATGTAAAAAAAAAAAAATGGGTTCAGCCTTCAGCACTATCAGGAAAATCACCTCACCTTTTCATAAAGAAAACATCAGGAGAGCCTGGGAAGGAGAAATAAGCAGTCATTTTCAATCATCAGGACAGCACAAAATTCCTGTATCACCAATAACTGCCATCAGAACTCTAACATGCTATTAATTTACAGCTTCATTGAGCATCAGCGTACAAATTCAAATCATCTGACAGTGATATGGCTTTATAAAGAACAAACCCTATGACTAAGCAGAGCACAGTGAAAAAAGCAGTTCGCTGGTTAATGTTTCCCTCCTGATTATTTTAGACTCTCCCTGCAAATGCTCAAGTCCCAGTTAGACTCTTACCTGTACTCATCCTGGGAGGTAGCTTGAAAATCCCAGAATGTCACAGGACCCTAGACACAGAAAAAGCAAGCCATTACTAAATGTAACCATAGCCGTCGGTGCCCCTTCTTGATCTTCAGCCCACTTTTCAGTAGTAAAATGACATCACTGTAGTTCAGCCATATGCTTGTCATTTACATTCATCATTAAGAGGTAATCTGTGTTTCCCTCCTCCCTAAAAAGCAGAAATAAGTACCCACCTGGACTACCAGCAAAGTGTTCAATTTTTATCACTAAACAGGTCTGTCTCCAAACTGTAAGCTGCTTTAAGGTCAGCCATGTCTGAGAAAATAGAAACAATCCAAACCGAATACTTCAGTAAACACTTTTCTTCAAACCAAAACACCTGCCGTTCATTGTGCTACTCAGATTTTTGTCTGTCTTCTCCACTACACAATCAGAAAGAGAGAGTTCAACTTTTAAATCATCCCTGTAGCACATTCACATCTTAGGGAACACAAAGAAAATAAGTAATGGCACAAACACTTACTCCAAAGAGAGAGCCTACTCCCATCCTTTCGAGTGCAGTCAAGTGCCTCAAACCTGCAAAATAACGTTAGCATGCGGTCACTGCTATGTCGCTTTTGGAGAAAGCTCGACCGGCACAGAGGCTGTATACAAGGCCATCCTCCTCAGAGTCACTTATCCTCACGGAGATCAGTACAGGTCTGTGAAAAGGTACTCATCATAGGGGATGGCCTCATACCGCCACCATTTTGTCCTTCACAAAGCCATGCCATTTCTACGTCTTCAACTCCCCCCAAAATAACCTCCCCTCCCTAGCTACGGAACAGTGTACACAAAATTACGTCTAGGACACGCTATGTTCACGACGTCTTTTATAGAAAACCGCTAGAGAAATCTTACTAGGAAAAGCCAGAGGCTGGCGGTTCAAGCCTTTAATCACAACAAAGGCAGATAAATCTTTGTGAAACCCAGCTCACCGCGGATACAGGATATTGCTGGCTTAAAAACAAACTAACAAAGGAAAAAAAAAAAAAAAAAACCAGAGTAAGGCCACGCGTCCTAAGCGAACACACTCACCAGGACCAAGGAAAAATGAGACCGAGGCGAACGACGAACGACCTATAAATACCATTTCGCAGAGGCCCACGGGATTTGGAGGCGGGACCAAGACGCGCGCTCACGTAAACGTGCTGAGAGCCGGGGGAATTGTGGGTAGAGGATTCCACCCAAGGTGCGGGTAGAACGCTCCGCCTCCGAACTTGCGGCGCGAAAAAGAGGCGCAGGCGCTTTACGGAAGAGTGGCGGCAGGCCCTGGGCCCAGTGCTGGTCGGTTCCGACCCACTGCGGATAAAACGTCATTGTGGAGGTTTGGCTTCGGCATCACTGCGGCGGGGCTAGCAGTGTTACTGTTACCGGTGCCCTTACCTTAACGCGATTCTTTGGCTCCCACTCACGCTAAACCGCGTGTAGATCCATCTCTATGGATGCTGGACCCACCGAACACCCCACCGGCGGCGTCTCGGTTCCCCGCCAGCCGCCCAGCGCGCAGACGGGACCTGACGTCCAGGTTGTCAGCGCTGCGGGCGACTCAGGTACTGGGCCCCGGTCTGAGCTCGGTTGGAGATTCCTTCATGGAGCCTTTTAGGGAGACACAGACCTAGATGCCTGTGTCATTCTGGTGACCGATTTTTGTGTTTTGCTTTCTGTTCTGTTTTCGCCATGATCTTGGCCCGGACTGAGGTAGGGCCAACATTAGATGGCATTTATGTAGCATATTGCACGTTTTTGTTTTTAACATGCTATAGATTAGACCTGAGGCCGTGTGCATGTTGTCCTCTACTTCTGAGTCTGACACCTCTCCACCCAGCCACCTGGGTTTACCGTTGTAAGCACCCGATATGAATTAATACTCCACTATACTAGGAGGTAGTGACAACCCTCATTTTATACATGGGCGGTCTTAGATATAAAGAACGCTGGGGTGGAGGAATTCTTAAAATTTACCAGTTGTCTAAGCCTCAGCTATACAGTGGTTATTGAGACTATGCGGCAGCATCACATCTTTAGTCATTTATAGCAAACATCTATTGCATAAGCTTGCCTTGTAAACATTTATTACTCTCTTATTATTAGTTGCTCTTCTCTATGACCTCACTTAATAATCCTACTATTCAAGTTGGAAGGTGTTAAGGTAAGTAATAGATGAGGAACCCATGGTCTAAAGAGATTAAGTAATTTGCTGAATGCTATCCAGATAAGCAATATTAGATCCAAGGTATAAATCCAGGCAGCCTGATTCCAAAGTCAGCCCTGGTTGCTCTTGCTTGGAGGACCCTGGTTCAATTCTCAACTCACAGCCATCTGTGATTCCAGTTCTAGGGGATCCAATACCCACTTCTGGCCTCCAGGGGTACCAGGCACACATGTACTCATACATGTATGCAGGCAAGACACACAGCTAAAGTAAATAAATTTAATTTAAAAAGTAATGCTGGGCATGATAACGCATGCTTTGAATCCCAGCACTAGTGAGGCAGGGGCAGGTGGAGTCTGAGGAACTCTGCATTTTCTACATGAGTTCCAATCCAGACAGGGCTACGATAGTTGCAACCCTTTCTCAAAAAAAGACTTTTTCGTTGTTGTTTTGATTTCTTTTTTTTTTTTTTTTTTTTGTTTCAAGACAGGGTTTCTCTATGTAGCCTTGGCTGGCTTCGAACTTGCTTTGTAGACTAGGCTGGCCTCTGGCTAATGAGAGATCCACCTGCCTCTGCCTCATGAGTGCTGGGGTTAAAGGTGTGCCGCCACCACCTGGCCTTTTTTTTTTTTTTTTTTTTTTTTTGTAATGTGGGTTCTGGAGTGTTTATAACAGGAGATTTGTGGTGGTGGAGCAGTTGCGCTCAAACGCTGCTTATTTTCTAGCATCCACGCTATGTGGCTCCCACCACCTGTAACTCCAGCTCCAGGGAATCTGACCCTCTTCTGGCCTTGGACACCTGCACACATGTGGCATATATTCACACAGACGTATACGTGAATAAAAAATTTAAAAAACCAAAACAATTCCATTTTCTAGATGAGGAAAATGATTATTATATTTATTCCACGTCGCTACCTGGCTACTGTGGCAGAGCTAGTACTTACTCTAATTACTTACTGCTTTTGACCCATTAAGGAAAATTATCCCAGATCTTGGAAGTATGCAAGCTTGAGTACATTGATGTAAAGCAGGTCCACCTTAACTGGAGATGATCTATTTTCCTAGGAGTAAATGCTTGTAATCTTTGTAATGACTTGGGCATCTTACAACTGCTAATTGCCTTGTTAATTCTTAGCAATGTATATATTGCTATATATTAGGCAGCATACTAAGTAAGCCCATGTAAGCATTTCCTTTTCTTTCTTTTTTTTTTTTTTTTTTGAGACAGGGTTTCTCTGCGTAGCCTTGGTTGTTCTGGAACTCACTCTGTTGAACAAGGTGGTCTTGAACTCAAAGGTTCAGAGAGGCACTGCTCTGCCTCCCTCCCTAGTGCTGGTATAGATATCTATATTGATATAGATATCTATATCTACATATGGGTATAGATATCAATACATATATGGCGGAACCTGAGAGAGTGGAGCCAGTAAATGAGGTGGACTAAAGCCTCATGCAGTAGCTAACTTTATTGAGAGCATCAGCCAGTTTCTACTCAGAGGGTTAAGAGGAGGTACGTGAGTAAAATGTGCAATCCCAAAGACAGGGTGCATGTGGGGATAAACTGCAGGTGGCAACTGAGGGGTATGAAAGCATTTTCCAAGAACAACTCCATCTTTTTGAAGAAACTGAGGCCATAAGATCTTTTGTTGTTGTTGTTTTCTTACAGTTTTTTGTTTGTTTTACACTGCAGCAGTCACTGTGAGGCATTTTATTCATTGAGTCCGAGAAACAATGTGTCAGAGGAAGTACTACAACAGTCTTAAACTGAGCCAGAAAGTGATTCCCAATGTCTTCCCTCAAGTGATCCTGAGGCATGCACCCCACTCTACCCCTAGACGTTAGTCCTAGGGATGCTGGGGGCCACTGTGGCCAGATCTCCCTGTCCCTGCAACTGAGACCTGGGTGCCCCAGGTCCTGCTGAGGCACTGGGCAGTGTGCATCCTGCAGTACCCTTTGTGGAGATCCTACACTAGAGCAGCCCCGGAACTCCTGTGGGCTTCCTCCTACCGAGGCCGCTCTGCCTCCTCCATTTTCTTGTAGTTTCCTCACAAGCACTCAGAACTCTCCTCACACTCCTTCATTGTTGGGCAGTGTTTCAACACATACACACACAACTTTTAAAATATATCATTACTTTATTATTCTCTTTGTGTGTATACATATGTATGTATATACTATATATACACACACACACTTTTGAAATGTAACTTTATTTTAGAGACAGGGTTTCATGTAGTCCTCAAACTGACTATAGCCCAAGAGGACCTTGAGCTTCTGATCCTCCAAGTGATAGATTATATCCATGTACCACCATGTCTCATTCATGTGTGATGGGGATCAAATTCAGAGTTTTGTGCACACAATGCAATACCAACTGAGCTACATTCTCAGGCCTTTATTAAGTTTTTTACCTGTTAGCAAATACTAGGATTTTTCTATTTGGATTTTTTTTTAAGATCTCACTGTATAACTGGCTGGCCTGGAACTCACTATGTTAAATAACTAGGCTGACCTTGAATTTGCTATCCTCCTGTTTTGAGACAGGATCTCCTGTAGCTTTGACTGTCCTTAACTCCCTCTATAGCCCAGGCTGGCTTTGAACTTCACTTCATTAGTGCTATTACAGGATTACAGGCACCCTACTAAATAAACATTCTTTTTCCTTTCTGTTTTTTTTTTTTGTTTGTTTGTTTGTTTGTTTGTTTGTTTTTTGAGGCGAGACAGGGGAGGAGGTTCTCTGTGCAGCCTTGGCTGTCCAAAAACACACTCTGTGGACCAGGGTGGTCTCCAACTCAGAGATCCAGAAAGGCATCTGCCTCTGCCTACCTAGTGGAGGGATTAAAGACGCCTGGCTCATATAAACATTCTTGAGTGACATACTATAATTTTCCTTTCCTAGAATTTTTTTAAAGTTGTTTTTTCCTTTAATAAGCTCAATAAAATCATCTATGTGTATTATTTTGTGTTTGTATTGAGTTATGTTTCTTTAAAAATTCCACTTTAACAAACTATTGTTTTTTATTTATCTGTGCCTCTGTGTGTGTGTGTTTGTGTGCTTATATGATGTGTATGTGGGTTCAGGAGTTTGCATGCTCTAGCTTATCTGTGGAAGTCACAGGACAACTTTGAGGGGTCAATTGTCCTTCCAGTTTGGGCTCCAGGGGTTGAATTCAGGCTATCAGGCTTGTGCAGCAAGTGTTTTTTACCTGGTGAGCCTTCTCACCAGCCCATGTTTTTTGTTTTGTTTTGTTTTGTTTTTGGAATGCAGTCTCATGTAGCCCAGGTTGGCCTGGAACTCATATCTAGCCAAGGATGGGATAACTTTGGACTTTGGATCCTCTTGCCTCTACCCTTTGAGTACTGGGATTACAGGTGTGTGCCTGATACTGGGTTTTATGAGGCAGTAGGTTCGAACCCAGGACTTCTGTATGCTTGTAAGCCCTCCACTAACTTTGCTACATCCCCACCTGTAGCCTTACTCCTAGGGTTTTTGTTTTTTTTGTTGTTTTTTTTTGTTTGTTTGTTTGTTTTGTTACCACAAACTGTCATATTCGTTTCTTCCCTTCTAGTCCATTCTTTGTAGCTAAAGTGTGCAATTCCCAGCACCCACATTGCAGCTAACAACCATCTGTAACTTTAGTTCCAGAGGATCTGACACCCTCTTCTGGCCTCCTCCGGCACCAGACATGCATATTGTGCACATGCAAACAAAACACCCTACACATAAAATCTTTTAAAAAACTGTTTAGTTCACTTCTCA